TTTTATATAAACAACCCGTTGTTGAGTCCATTCCAGCTGGTAGTGACCCCCTGGCCGGCTTCCCATGGCTGCAATCTTTCTGGAACAGGACTGCCTTATCTTGCTCCCCCAGAGGGGCTCGTGGACTCAAACTGCTGACCTTTCCGTTAGCAGCTGAGAGCGTTAACCACTGTGCTATTAAGACTCCATTTCTTGGGTTTCATAAACTCAAAATAATAACGAATTGCTCACTGTGTATAGGATTGCTTTGAGTTGAAATTTCAATGGCAGTGATTTTGGTTTGGTTTTGGTGTTGATGAGTATAGTAGAAAAAAGACTATTATCCAAATAAGTGAATACTTGTTATCATTTGTTGTTTTAGATGCTAAGTTAGATCTATTGGTGATTAAGATATAAATTTTAGTTGGTGAAATCTATAGTATGAAGGTGTGCTAAGTCCAGTGAACATATTTTAGTTGATTGTAAGAAGTGCCTTGTGAAGTGGGCATTTTAGCAGAAACCCCCCAAAAGTTAGAGCCCTGTGGTAAAAGAGCTTTCCAAGCAGAGGGATAGCATACGTGCAACCTTGAGATGGGAGCATGCTTGTGTATCCCAGGACCACTACGGAGGCCAGACCACCCAAGCAGCACAAGTCACGGCGGAGGACGGCGAGTGGGAGGCGAATGAAGTAGGTTGGTGAATCCGGAGTCGCACCGTGTCTGGCACTCTCATTTAAGGGCGTTGCGTTTTACTCAGTGTGGACAGCGACTCGATGGTTGTTATTGTATGAATACTCCTTTGTGCTCAGAAACTGCTTTGTGGCTGTAAACACTATCTTTAGACAATGAAACTTCAAAATGAGGGTCTTGATAACTAGGCTGTATGCCATTTGAGAAGCCAGACAACAGAATGTTGCATCAGGATTAGTAACAATCTTTGGAATGCACATGACACAGCCTTGCTTGCTGAAAGTGAGGTGGACTTGAAGCCCTTGCTAATGAAGATCAAGGGCTGTAACCTTCAGTCTGGGTTACAACTCAGTGTAAAGAAAACTGAAGTCCTAACAACTGGACTGGTGGGTAACTTCATGAGAAACGGAGAAAAGGTTGAAGTTGACAAGGATTTCATCTCGCTTGCATCCACAACCGATGCTCATGGAAGCAGGAGTCGAGAAATCAAACAACTATGTTGGACTGGGTCAATCTGTTGCACAAGACCTCTTTAAAGTGTTGATGTTGATGAATACGGATGTCACCTCGAGTACTGTGGGAGCCCCTGACCCAAGCCACCGTGGTTCCACTTGCCTCCTATGCGTGTGAAAGTTTGGCTTTGAGTAAGGATGTCTGAAGAATAAACTGATGGATTTGAATTACGGTGTTGGCAAAGAGTACTGACAGTCGCACGGACCACCATCTGTTTTTGAAGAAGTACAGCCATAATGCTCCTTAGAGGGGAGGCTGGCAAGACTCTGGCTCGGACACTTTGGCCATGTTACCAGGAGAGAGCAGTCCTTGGAGAGGGGCACCATGCTTGGTGAAGTGGAGTGGCAGCAGAAAAAGAAGACGAAGACTCCTGAGACCATGGTGTGGCACAGTGGCTGCAGCAGTGAGCTCAACCATAGCCACAGTTGTGAGGGCGGCACAGGACCCGGCAGGGCTTCCTTCTGCTGGACAACGGGTCATTTGAGTTGGAGCAGACTCGGTGGCATCTGACCACAACAATGCCCTCTGGAGCGCTGCTCCATTACATACTTAAACGATCTGTTCTATGGAGCCATTTTGTCGGAGCCTGTTTTAATCCACCTATCTGAATATTGCACTGTCAGGCCCTCCCCTCCCCTCCCTCCCTCCCCCTCCCAGGAGCCGGCGGTTTAGTATGACAATGAGTAATTTGCATGGTGGGTGCTAGACAGATTTTTGGCTCTTAATGAAATTAGCCCTGAAATCTGAGTCTTTCTGATGATAGGCAGAACAAGGATCCCTCCTTCAAAATTGCTAGAGCCTTACTTCTTAGAAGCTGTGAATATGCTGTCTTACAGGACAAACGTTTTCTTGTGTATGCGAGTCAGGCTACTAAGGACCTTGAAATGTAGAGATTACCCTCTGTCCTCCCCGTGGGGCACTCTCTCTCAGGACTTATCCCTCACAAGAGTTTTGTATACCGTATCTGTATCAGCAACCTTTGCAAGATCGGTGCCTAGCAAATTATCTTGGCAGAACTACAGACCCAGGGTCAGAAAGCGACATATGAAGAAAGACGTGCCGTCCTACAAAGGGGAATTGCCAACAACCCCAATGACTAGGAAGTGAATTCTCCCCTGGACCCTGTGGCAAGCCCGCAGCTGGCTGGTGCCTGGGGTTTACCTGACGAGATTTGCACCAGACCTCTGAGCTATAGAATCAAGGAGAATAACTTGGTCCTGGGGCAAGCCATCTAAGTTTGTGGTGAGTTGTTAATGACAGCAATATACAACGAATACGATGCGAATGGAACGTATTCAAAGCATTCTGAAAGCAGACATTGTAACATTAGATTCTAAGTATAGGGATTGGAGATCATTAATTCATTACAACTAGTATTAAGTACCTACTACTTGCCAGGAACTGTAGTAAAAACAACAATTCAAACTCACTGCAGTCAAGTTGATTCTGACTCACGGTGCCCCCATAGGACAGGCTAGCGCTGCCCCTGTGGGTTTCCTAGACAGAAACTACGGGAGCAGTCTCATCTTTCTCCTTCTGAAGGAGTGGCTGGTGGTTTTGCAGCCCAAAATGTAACTCACAGTGCCAGGCCTCCTTAGGAACTGTCGTGGAACCTTGAAGTAAATTCATGGGTAGGATGGGGACAAGGGCTTCCTTCAGGAAATTCATGGTTCTCAGTCACTTCTGTGATTTCTTGGAGCTTCGTAGGAGAGAGACGGACTTTGCGCGCCTGAAGAATGGCTCAGAAACCACAGGGCAGTTCTACTCTCTCCTATTGGGCCACCTTGCTTGGAGATCGGCTCCATGGCAGTGAGTCTGGTTCGTTTTTGTGAGTCACTTTTTGGTCAGTTTTTTCCTTTACATTTTAGGACTATAAGTTAAAGAAACTTTCGAACATAGAAATGTTGAGATAATAAAGAATCCCTTTATGTTTATTATTTAGCGTTGGTAATTACAAAACCTCTCCACTCATGCTTCAGCTATACGCCTCTCTACAACCATCTTTTCAAGCTACCTGTTGGATGACTTCAATAAAAATTAAGATAAAATCGTGTCATTGATCTTCAGTTTTAGGTGAAATTTGCTAAACAGTTCCCTAGTGATACAAGGAAAATTCAGGCCTTATTTTAATTTATATTATCTATCTCTGGATTCATTTATAATCTTTAATCTGTTTCTTTTTGCTTGAAATTTTGTGTAGACTTCCTTTAGTGGACATTAAAAAATTACCTAGATTCATTTCAAGAGAAAAATTGATAGAAGAGTTGTGTTTTGTTGGGTTAGTATATACAACAGTAAGTTTCAGCATTTCAAGGAAAAAGAATCGTTCTACAGTACTTCGAATGTCAGCGTTCTGAATAGATTTAGTGATTATAAAATAAGAGCAGTTGCATGGGCCTTATAGTGTTTTATATACTTTATTTTTAAGACGTATTTCTAGCAGTAAAATAAATTCTTACAAAACCTGGTTAAATTTTAACTTGCCCAATACTAGGATCAGGTCATTTTCATAACAAGCCTTCTCCTAAATACATATAAACTACTTTTCTCTGGGTTTTCCATGAATACTTCAATGACATAAAATATTTTGGTCATCTTTGGGAGTTACTCTTTTTGGTATGGTGCTGAGATTTCCACTTTCCTGGTCTTCACATTGAACCACTCCCCATGGCAGTCCTGTTTAAACCTACACTAGCTGCCATCTTCCCTGATGGCACTATATCCTGAACTCCCTGCCCAGTCAACATTTTTATTTCCTTTTTATTTCATCTATGATTCATTCCTTTAAAAGGGGTTAATGATCTTGGAACACTAAGGGTAGTCGTACATAATAGAAATGTGCTGTATGAAGGCGTCCTGATTGGTTCTTTGTTCATATTTTCCTGGACATGTGAAGTTAGCTTTGAGAAAGTGAACCCTGGAGCCAAGACCTAGGGCTCACCACTCTTCTGAAGGCAAAGTTTCAGCTCCAGAAGGCATCACTGGCTGCCCTACATGGTCTCTGCAGTTCTGCAATGTGAGTGTTTCTTTCTGGACTCCGGCACCTACCACCCCCACCACCGCAAAGCAGGTGTCAACCTCAGGGCTCTTAGCATGCTGCCAACTTTACATTTTCTGTGAATAGACTTGTCTTTCCTAAAGGAGCTGGAAGCTGGGAAATCAGACAGGGTTTTGAGCTGGTTCCTTCTGGTTAGACCCCTTGCTGAGAATTTGCATTTCCACCCTAGGTTCACAGAATCAGAATTTACATTTTTAGCAACAGCGCCATTTTCCCAAGAATCCCTTGGGGATCTTGTTCCCTTTAGCAACATTTGGATTTGCTGCCTGGGGTGGAAACGTGGATTCTCAGCAGTGGTCACACTAGAAATGAACAGGTTCCAAGCCCAGTGGGATCTAAGGAAGCGAGGGGTCCTGGTGGCATAGTGGTTCTCCTTTGGGCTGCGAACCTCAAGGTCAGTAGCTTGAAACCACCAGCCGCGCTGCCAGAGAAAGACGAGACTTCCTACCCCCATAGAGAGAGAGAGTCTTGGAAACCCACGGGGCGTTCTACTCTGTCCTGTCGGGTCACTAGGAGTTCGAATCAGCTTGATGGCACTGAGTTTGGGTTTGGGGATTCTAATTCAAGAGCTAATGGCTGGGGAAGAGTTTAATGTTTTCACTTGCCGTGCACTTTGTATTAACCATTATTTTTTAAAATTACATAGAAAAATCTGACTGACTGGCTTTGAGTTTTTAAATGTTGAGCTTATTTTTTAAAGGGCAGTGTTTGAGTTGTTCCAGGTGCTTATTGTTCTGTGTTTCTCCCCTTGATTTCTCCAGAGATATCACATATGAAATATCAGTAGAAGCGGTATCAACCATGGTGGTTTTTCTTTCCTGCCAACTCTTCCACAAAGAAGTTTTACGACACAGCATCAGTCACAAGTATTTGATGCAGGGCCGATGGTATGTTGGCTTCTAAAATTGGCCTAGTTATTGTCTTCTCGTGTCAGTCTCTGTTTCTGGTCTTGCTTTTATATTTGTGTTGTCCCACCCCTGCAGCCAGACAGCTCCTCTCGTCCTCGTATCAGTGCCTCAAACCCAACATGTATGGAGTGAGGCTCGTTTTCCTGCCCCAGCTCGCCCTCCCTCCCTGCCCTTCTCCCCTCCCAGCTTCTCTAGTGGCTTCTGAATACAGTTGAATCTCTGGGGTCTCCCTCCTTCTCCACGTGAAAGGTGAGTGCAAATGAGCAAGTCCTGTTTGTCCATTCAAAATTCCTGTTGTATCTTTCCTTTCTCGCCAGCCCACAGTTGGTGCCCTAGCTGCCCAATCTAATCAGTGCCCATGGCCATGTGTATGGGCTACTCCAGCGGCTTAACTGCCTCTTGTCAGGCGTTCCCTGCCTGCACGTAGTCAGAAGGTCTCTAGTGTGTGCTCACCAAGTGCCAGGCACTCATCCGGTCGGGACCTGCGGTTGTGAGGCTGCACAGAAGCTGCCGGTGTGTCCCCACTGGTCACTGGGTGGGAGGAGGGGGCTAGGAGTAGATAAGCGCGTGTGCGCGCGCGCGCGCGCGCACACACACACACACACACACTCATCCTGTGGATGGACTGGACTGTCATCCACCTTGACAGTGGAAACAGGCACAGAGAGGCGTAGAAGAAAGTGCACAGGGGCTCGGCTGACTCGCACCCCCTTCCTCCCCGGCCTTAGTTTCTTCTGTGGTATCGTCTCTCACTCCGCCTGCCTCGTGGCATACCCCTCAGGGTTCTTTGGAGCCTATTTGAATATCTCTGGAACGAGAGACTACCTGGGATTTGGAGCCCGGAGGTCGTCTTTACCTTTGTGTCCGGGAAGCCCCGTCAGAAAGCTCAACTCTGACGGTGACATGACATGGAATGATTCTGAGTTGAGGTAGCACTTGGTGTTGTGGGGATGTGTGCACCTCTCCCTTAAAGACTCCCAATCTTTTTTTTTTTTCCATATAAAATGCCTGAAATGTCGAGGTTGCCCTTGGCATGCGTACAGGGAAGGCTGAGTTATTTCTCAATTGTTGAGGCTTTATAACACGGCGTCAGATATATGAACCACAATGAGCTCTTTACTGAGTCTTGGTCCATCTTGGAAGCCATATTTTTAAAGGCTCAGTAATATATTCAAGAGTCTGTGAACATTTTCTCCTGGATTGTAGGAATTGGTTTATCGCCAACTTGTGGACACATGACCCCTTTGCCTTGTTCTCTTTTTCTTTTCTCCCTGTCCAATTTATAAAAGCAAAAGTATTAACATTAAAAAACTATGCACATACATTTATATAATTGTATGGCACATAAATTTCATGCTTAAAAAGTGCAGGCTATTTTAATAGATTGAATAGAATTTAATAAATTCTCACTTTTTCCTACTGGTTTTACTTTCTACTATTATTTTTACATTTTACTTTTTATTACCATTACTACCACTCTGCATATGCCAAGTGTAGTGTATTGTGTGCCGAATTTATAGTGTCTCATACTGTTGTACAGATTACAAGTGATGTAACTGAAACCGAGGGGTTTGAAGTGATTTGAGCAATGTTTTCTTATGACCACATAAGAGGCAAAGCAAGAATTACACCTCAGGTCTGACCACAAAGCCTCTGCTCTTCACGATTCTGTGACAGTGCTAGATTTATTTGAATTGTAGTAACCCATTTACATGTGTAACAAATTTATTTCTGTGTTGTTATACAGAATCAGGTGGCTACCATCAATGGGAGTCATTTCTTTTTCTCTTTTTTTCACACAGCCTATCCTACACCAGCAGACTTGTGAAAACCTTGTTGTATAATTTTATCAGACAAGAGAAACCGCCTCCTCCGGGAGCCCATGTTCTCCCCCAGCAGTCCGATGGGGGAGGACTACTCTATGGACTTGCGTCTGGAGTGGCAAGTAAGTCAGTCTGCTCACGTTTCCCCAGTTCTTTAAAGCTGAGAGTGTGATCGGGAGACAGGGCAGTACCTGGTGGGCAACTATAACGATACTCTTCTAGATCGTCAGAAGAGAGCTGGGTCTTTATAGGGTAGACAGTGGGCTGTGTGCCCACCGAGCCATGTGGCGGCCAATACAACGTCACAAGGAGGTTGTTGACCAAAGCCGCTGCCTTGGATCAAGCCATGCAAACACTCATGACAAACTTCTTTGGCTAAATAGTTCCTCGCTTAAGTCAGAATCGTGACCCTAGCTCCTTTTGGGTTATAAGCCATTAAAACTCTTACAAGAAACTGAATTGTCTCTTCAGCATAGCAGAAGCAGGATTTTAGGCCAAGCCTCCATTTGATCCAAAATGCAGTTTGATTTGGATCTGGGGAAACCATTCCAGTCATGCTCTATGCCTTGGTTTTAGGGTTTGCTTAGACAATTGATTTTGTCTGATTAGGCGAGAGGAATTCTGTTCACCCGGCGGCTGCCCTAACAGTTTGATTGCATCTGTACAATCAAAGTCACTTTCAGTGTTAATTTTCCCATTCTGTGTGGTGACTTGTTAAATATGTACAAATGATGAATAGATTACTTATCTATAAATCACCATTTTTCAAGAAAAATGTTTGCAAATAACCTTGCATATTACATGAGTTCTGGCTCTGCAGTAAAAATAAAAATGAAGCCTCTTAACTGTTTATGTATTAAGAGGCAATCTTTCTATTTTAGGGGCCTTATTGGCTAGGTTTCTACAGGACTAATCAGGCTTCATTTTCCTGTTAGTATTTGGTGTTCATTTATTCAGTGATGAATTAGTACGTCGTGAAAGGTTTTATAGTAAACTCTGGAATGGCGCAAGCTTGCACTGCTGTCAGACTGGGACCGAATTCCCTGCCTGAGGAGAGCTCAGTGGTGACGCAGTCGGTGGGCTCCAGTTCTGCGTCAGTGTTGAGACCCAAAGACCCGGGAAGCATGGAGTGCTGTGGCTTTTCCCTGTGTCATTATGGAGGACCTAGGTCATGTGGGGTGCACGTAGGCTCTTTTCCTGACACAGACACCCGTGCTGTACGGGAGCAGTTGGGCAGTTGTAGGTCTGAAAGGGCACTCGGACTGCTCCAGCGGGACTCACTCTCCTCACTGCCTAACTCGGAGCTCAGCTGTTCGGGAGAATTGTAAGCAGAACTAACGGCTTCCTTAGCTGAGTTACGCCTGTGGCGTGCTTACCATGCTCGGGGAGGACCTGAGAAGGCGTTATCGGTATCGTGTGATAGCACTGTACAGAATGCGTCTTGGGAAGTCGTTTGGATGACAAGACCTCATTCACAATGGTAGGATTGCTCAGCTGGCGTTAGCAATCGATCTGAGTTTTCCAGACTTTCCTAGATTGTTCCCTCCTCGGATTTCTTTTGGTATTTTGATTTGAATGACATTTGTGATCACTCGTGCCTCCACTGTGATCCTGAGCATCCCACCCAGGAAGTCAGACCTGCTGCGTAGGGTCCCCACGGCACTTCTGCTCGATGCCGTCACATTGTAGGAGGTGAGCAAGCTCACAGCCGGTCTGGTCATGACCTCCAAGGACGGTGCAGTGGCTGTTTTTGGTCACTCAGGAAGGCATTAGAAATCTGTTCGTGGTTCCCTTTTTTTTACCCCCCTATCATTAAACTGGTATAAGTATTTAAAAATGGAATATTTTCAAAATATGGTTGGAGATTTGGGCTGGTGGGGGAGTAGTTAGGAGCTCATTTAACTTCCCTCCTCAAAATAGCAACGATACTTGGCAGCATTTCTTTAAGGAAACATAGTTCTGTGCATAGTTTTTTTTCCCCTCCAGTTATGTATGTATCCTATCAAAAGGAAGCCGAATTCAAAGAAAGAAGAAGAAAAAGGAAGCCCCAGGTGGCACATGTCGCCAGGCGAAGGAGGAGCCCCGGTGCCCTCCCGGCTTAACTCCTGACTGAAGGGTCTTGTTGAAACCACCAGCTGCTCTTCACTTCTCTAGTGAAGGGGAATTGCTGAAGTGTGGCTCTTCCACCCATTTCTCGTTAACTCCCACCAAAGGGTTGGCTGAGATCGTGCAGATAAGGCTTAGAGATCTGTAGCTAGGAGATTGGCCAGTTTTGCCGTTCCTCTGTTAGAGGGCTCTCTCAGAAGCAGGGACAGGGAGAATGTCCAGGGACATGAAGAAGTTGCAGCACAGTGACCATGAGACTGGGTGGCAGAGCAGTGGGTGGGCTTCCCATCCCACAGAACACGAGACCAGGGTCTGAGACAGAGAGAAACTTGACCACTGACTGAGGAGAGGTGCTGTTGTGGACCAAAGATGGTGCCCTAATGTTTGTGGTTATCAGGCCAACAGGTAGCCCACTGCACCACGAGGAATGTTTATGACCCTTACTTAGGGTAACCTGTTAACTTCCCTGATACATCTCCATAATTGAATATTACTCCGAGCCCCATGCGGCCATTGCAAAGGAGGGTCAAATCCAGTAGAGTGGGGGAAAATGGTTGGTGTCCGAATAGAGTAAAAAGGAGGGAGGGTTGAGATATGTCTGCCCTCTGCCTTGTGGCAATGGGCCTTGGGCTGGTGTAGAGATGGATTCTTCCTGGGAGGTCAGCTGTGACTTCCATGCCATTTCCTCAGCTTCCATAAAGGTTCATTGCCGTGGAAGTCTCGGGGTGGTTCTGTTCGCACTAGGGTTACTGCGAGTGGGAATTGACTTGATGGCAGTGGTTTGGAGTTTGGTTGATACTTGGAATTTAAAGACAATCAAATTATAGTGGACACTTAAGTTTGAGAATTACAAGGCTAGCTAACCTTGCCCCTTTGTTGGCCATCGTACTAGGTGAGCCCTTGGCACAATGGTTAAGTGCTGGACTACAAACTGTGGGGTTAGTGGCTCAAAGACACCAGCTTCTCAGTGGGAGAAAGATGTGGTCATCTGGTTCCATCGGGGCTATACCCTTGGGAACCCTCTGGGTCAGTCAGTCGGTTCTGCCCTGTAGGACCACTGTGAGTCACAGTTGACGTGATGGGACTGAAGTTTGGGGTTTGTTTTTAAAGAAGAAAAGTCTTTGTGCATTGTCCATCAGGCCCCGTGTGGAGGATTTACCGAGTGTTTAGATCCAGCAGTACAGCCTTCGAAACCCAGTGGTTCTCCCCTGCCTGCCAGAGCCCCTGTGCGTTGGAATCAGCAGAGGGTTGTTGGTGTACTGAATGTCACAAACATGAGTTCAAATCCAGAGAGCTTTGTGACAATATAAACTATTTCCTCAGTTGGAAGCCTGGTGAGGATTTGTTGTGGGGAAAGTTGCTTGGTAGTGGCTAAAGAGGATTCCCTGGCTTTTAAGACCTACGCACAAAGATACGAGAGGGCTTCAAAAAGTTTGTGGAGAAATGGAATGAAAAGATAATGGGATTTTCCCACAACCCTTTGGAAGCTTCCTCAGATTCATGAGACTGGAGCCAGTAGTCCCCCTGGTGGTAGGAGATGCTAACAGAGCCTTCTCGTGAGTTCACACCCCACGCCCTTTTCCTGATCACCGCATCTCCTGCCCGCATTTCCCCTCAGCACCTCTTCACCACCTGTCCTCTTCCACGCATTCCAGAACGTAGAGACCGGGTTGGTTTTCCTTATTCAGGATCCATATATTTAGGGCGGAGTCCCAGCTCAGTGCCACCCCACTTCTTCAGCTCTCCAAGTCTCGTTATCCCAATTTGTAAAACGAACACTGACCTTTTGTACAGGGTTCCTGTGAGGAATAAATACAACAGGTATTCTCTTGTCAATAACTCTTGTTAACTTGCACTGAAAATCTGCTTCTTACTTAAAATAAGAATCCTTGAAAAGAAAACACATTTCCTTCAATGCACTCACTGTTAGGGATCAGAAAACCTGTGACAGGTTTATACAAAACAACTGAAAATGGCGAATTTATGTGAAAAACATTTTGAAAAGTGAATTAAATTGGATAACACATCAGACATGTTTTTGTTCTTTCTCAAATTGGCTTTTCATTTTATGAAGTGCAAAATTTGGCCATGGAGAGTCAGAAAGGAAAATTTCATTGTTAAACAGATACTGCCCACAAGAGATTTCTCCTTGCTTCCTAATGAACTTGCTGCGGTGGTCATTTTCATGGTAGCGCTTCTTGTTTTCAAAAGGAGCCCCAGTGACTTGGGTTATGCACAGTGGGCCGCTAAAACACAAGGTCAGCAGTTTGAACCCAACCAGCTGCTCCGCACGAGAAAGATGAGGCTTTCTGCTCCTGCAAAGATTTACATCCTGGAAAATCCAGAGACGATTCTATTCTGTGTTGTTGGCTCTCTGTGAGTTGGAATAAGCTTGATGACAGTGAGCTTGGTGATTGTGTTGTTCTTTCTCTCTCTTTTTTTTTGCTAAGAGATATTTTCTTTTTGGATATTTACAGAATTAGCCAGTGAAAATATTTTGACAACAACAGAGGACTTGATGCTTCCCCAAACCAAACTGTAATAAATAACCTCTAAGGTTCATGTAGCCAGTGGTGTCAGGAATTCTGGTCCCCTTATGGTTAGAAAGGGAATAGATAGTTAATTTTTGCTCTGGTCTCCCAGCACATCCCCTTACTGTGGTAAAGGTGCTCTGTGAGGCACATTCCTGAGATCCTTACCTCTGTGATGTGTCGTGGTGAGGCATGCTCTATGGTCACAGGGTGTGAAGTGGGTTGTGCTGGAGTTCTCCTGGCTGGAGTTCTCAGTTTTGGAGGCCGCTGACCTTGCTTGTAGGTCGACAGTGCAGGCATCTTTCTGCTCCAGTCAGTATATTTCCCCGGCAGCTCTGCGCGGTGGTGGCGAGGAGGCCTGTGGCCAAAATAGACCCTCTCAGTGAGCCGCTAAAAAGAGGCCTTTCCAAGTGGTAGGAGATCCCTTAAAAGGCAATTCTGGGATCAAGACAGATGGTTTTCTTTCCGGATTCTGTGAGCCAGCA